AAAAAAAAAAAAATTAGCTAGGCATATGACACACACCTGTGGTCCCAGCTGCTCAGGAGGCTGAGGCAGGAGGATCACTTGAGTCTGGGAGATGGAGGGTGCAGTGAGCTGAGATTGCACTGCACTCCAGCCTGAGTGACAGAGCATGACCCTGTCTCAAAAAAATTATAATTAATAGTTTAACTTAGTGTAAGTAATAAGATCTCCCCCTATGTGCCACTAGCAAGAACATCATTTAATGCAACAACTACTGCATTAAACTCAATTGGTGAAAAATAAATTTCCTTGGGAATGAGATTCAGTCTTGATTATTTCATCAGACAGAAAACACCACCCTGCCAACTACTTTCTTCAAAGCCCCTTTCAAGGACCTGTTCCTCAGGCTGTAGATGAAAGGGTTTAGCATGGGGGTCACCACTGTATACAACACGGTAGCTATAGTGTCTTTCTCAGCTGAGTGGGAGGACAAAGGATTAAAATACACAGCAATGATGGTGCCATAGAAGAGGAAAACCACAGCCAGGTGAGAGCCACAGGTGGAGAAGGCTTTCCACTTTCCCTTTGTGGATGGGACCCTCAGGACAGTGCAGGTGATGTGCATATAGGAAGCCAGGATGCAAAGAAATGGGGTGATCATGACCAGGGCACCCTCACTAAGGATTATGACCTCATTGAGGTGTGTGTTCGAGCAGGAGAGTTTCAGGAGGGGAGTCACATCGCAGAAGAAGTGAGGGATGGCATTGTTTGCACAGAATGAGAGTCGAGCCATCAGCAGGGTGTGCAGAAGGACATTCAGGTTGGCAACCACCCACGATCCAGCAACCATCAGGGCACAGAGCTGATGGGTCATCTTTGCTGTGTAATGTAAGGGGTGGCACACAGCGACAAAGCGGTCATAGGCCATCACAGCCAGGAGGAAATTGTCCATGTCCACAAACATGAAAACGAAATACATCTGCGTGAGACAGCCAGAGAAGGAGATGGTCTGAGTCCCGAGTATGTGATTGGCCAGCATCTTGGGGATGGTGGTGGAGGAGAAGCAGACGTCCACAAAGGACAGGTTGCTGAGGAAGAAGTACATGGGGGTGTGCAGGCGGGAGTCTGTGCTGACAGCCAGGATGATGAGCAGGTTCCCCAGGATGGTGGCCAGGTACATACTCAGGAAAAGCACAAAGAGGAGATCCTGCTGCTGGGGCTGCCTGGAGAGTCCCAGGAGGAGGAACTCGGAGACGCTCGACTGGTTTGTCCGGCTCATGGGCCTGGGATCCTGGACACAGAGGTAGACGAAGAAGATGAAATGCAGCACCTTGGAAAATGCTGGTTAAGATGGGGCACAGGAATGGCAGTAGAATTTTGCTTGCAGGATGTAAATGATAATATTGTCAACCCTGCTGGGACTGCTACTGCTAAGTTCAGGGCTCAGGTTTACAGAAGGCTGAGCCAGACCTTCTTGGCTATATCCACTGAGCTCCCTGAGTCCAATTTGTAAAATTAAAATGGAATAACCCAGAGGTCTGGGCAGAAATTCAGTCAGTTTGTGTTCCCCACAGTTCAGGATGTCAAACAGACTAGACAGAGACTGGTCCTGACTGGGTGATTGCAAGGAACTGCTGCTGAGCTCAGGACTGTTCTTCTGGCTCTGCATAATGGAAAGGAAG